GGTGTGCTGTGGGCGCAGACAGCACCTCCTACAGGACAGATGGAGAACCACAGTTAACTGGCTAGTTGGTTCCACATAGGCTGTTAGGACAGTTACACTGCATGCACCAGGAGCTGGCAGTCACACCGTATATGGGGGCATCACCCTGAACAACAGCAGGAAGCAACTCGAGCATCCACAATAGAGAAATGGCATGACATCCCTACTATGGACTCCTGCAGATATTAAAACCTCTTGCTGTGCGTAAACCTAGATGAATGTCCACTGCCCATGGGAGTTTCAGGCTACAAAATCAAGTTGCAGAGTATTATAAACATGTGACGGGCCTCCCCGGTGGCGCAGCGGTAGAGCGCTGGGTTGCGAAGCTGCCCGCAGCCTCTGCGGCGCCGGTTCGATTCCCGGCTGCTCCCCGGCCACCGGAGGAGGGTCCCACATGGTGCGCAGACCTCTCCTGCCGCCCGCTGCTCCCCTCAGCAGTGTACTTCGGTCCTTCTGCCTGTTCTGCTCCCCGCTCTGGCTCTGGTGAATTCTCTCACCCTCCCGCGCTTCTGACTGTGCCCAGTGCATGTATAAACAAAACAAATGAACAAACAAATAAATAAATAAATAAAACATGCCTCTATTAAAAAAAAATAAAAATAAAAAAAAAAAAAAAAAAAAAACATGTGACCCCATTTTGGCTAAAAGGAAGGAATAAAGGTAGGAATAAGGAAAAGGAGGGAGGAGGGAAAGGAAAAAGGAAAAAAGGAAGCTAGATTCTCTGTATTAATACAAGCACTATGAAATCGAGAAAGAAATGGAAGGATTCACTGCAGTTTCCTCTAGGAGACTGGCGTGGGAGAAGGGAAATGAACTTTTCCATCATCAATATCTGTATTTTACTTGTCAGTGATCATGATCTATTTTAATGGATAAGTTTAACAAATTGAAGAAAATTGAAGTCAATTATATCCCCATAAAGCTGGAGAAAATAATTTAAAAAAAATTAAAAAGAAAATAAAAAGAGCTTCTGAGCCGTCCTTTGGAATAACTCTGTTCTGGTTCCATCCCTCAGAGTAACCCTGAACCCCTCAGGTCGTCGCTTCTCCTTCTCTGAAAACACTACCTGTGCAGAGAGCCTGGCCCAGCCTCTGACCCACACGTAGCCAAAGCTGACCTCCACGTGGCCACCACACCTTTCAAAGCCCAGTCACTCATATTACCCGATCCAGCCTCTAAGCAGCCCTGTGAGAACAGCAGGCATAAGTACTTCCTCTTCTTTAGAACAGAGGAAACTGGGACAAACAGGCAGTGCCCCAAGGTCATGTGCTGGTCCCAAAGGCACTGTGGTCATGTACCACCCACCCTCTTTTGTCTTCACCATGGCTCTGCAGGTCGGCAGCACAGCCAGGCTCTTACAGGGAGGGCAGATCTTTTGTAACCTACTCCCCCGTTACAAAAGAAGGTGGAGGCACCAGCAGGAGTCTCATCTATCTCTCTCCAAGCCACAAATTACTTAGCGATGGAACAGCCAGGGGCTCTGATGACAGCTGTTGTAATTGCAACCATACTTTACTTCCACACGGTGCTTTACAGTTGATGAAGTGACCATATTCACGGTCACTGCTGCAGTGTCCCAGTAATGAATGGGTACTCCCACCACTCTGAAGAATCAAAATAGGTCACCCTTAGAGTGTGACATGAAGATGACTAAAAAAATCGTGAAATCAAAATTGATCAAGGAAACATCCAAAATGGAATTGGGAGGCCATTAGGGAACAGGAGCTTGTGCATGTAAGTCATGCCTGACTGGTGAGTAACCCAGCTTTCATTAAACCAGCTTCCTGATGCCTGGAATTCAAGGAGTTTGACGAGAATAACACAGAAATTGGCAAATGCTGTCAGACCCTAGAGAGAGGACAGTCTATCACTGCATGACACGCAGGCATCCCTGCCTTTTACATCTGTTTTTCCCCCTTTAAAAAATTTTATCTGGGCTTCCCCTGGTGGTGCAGCGGTTGAGCGCTGGGCCGCGAGGCTGCCCACAGCCTTTGCAGGGTCGGTTCGTTCCCTGGCCTCTGGCGAGGGTCCCACAAAAACAAAAAAAAAAAAAACAAAACTTTATCTGCAGGAGGCAACTCTGTTTATATAGGGTCTATATTCCCCTCAGGGTCTCCCTGGTGGTGCAGGCGGTTGAGCGCAGCACCGTGAAGCTATCTGCAGCCTCTGCAGCACAGGTTCAATCCTGCGTGGCTGGGGAGATACCCACATGGCGCAGCAGGCCTCTCCTATCTTACCCGCTGCTCCCCTCAGCAGTGTATTTTGTCAGTCTGCCTGTTCTGTTCCCCACTCTGTCTCTGGTGGATCCTCTCACCCTCCTGCACATCTGGCCTGATCCTGGTTCTTGTATGCATGAAAAAATACATCTAAAAATAGTGTTCCCCCTCACATTGAGGCACTTACATGGGTTGCCTGTGTCTGTGACTCCCAAATTGCAATTTTCCTAAATATTCCAAATAAAGCTTTGCTTTTACTTGCAGACTGAGCTCTGGGTCATGCTGGATTATTTTCTACACTCACCAGGTGCAGGGGCAGGAATGGACGGAGCAGGTTTTCTATGACTCGAGCAGACGGAGTAAAGGAGGAGTCCTGGAGCCTTCCGTGGCTTTTGGCTTTTATTGGGATTTTACTGGGTACACAGCAGGCAGGGTTGCCAGGGGGCCGGGAGGCTGGCAGACCTCCCAGCCCCCAGCAAGTCTCTACTCTTTCTGGGCTCTCTGGTGTTTTCTGGTTTTCTCTGCTTTTCTGCTCCTGGTTCTCTGCTCTACTGGCGTCCCCGTGACGCCGCCATTATAAGCCCAGGTGTACCTACTTACGCATGCCCACACCCTATTCCTGGTGCCCGCCATCAGGCATGCATTCAGGACCGCAAGGATCTATCATTAATACTAATGGCGGGAGGGCAGAAAAGCTTGTACTTGTTCACTTACCCTGCACCAGGTATCTCATTAGGTGCATTTTGCAGGTGAGGAAACTTAGTCTCAGGCAGTGCCAGTGATGTGTCCAGAAGAGGTGAGATTCAGACCCAGATCTGGCTAACTTCAGACCCAGGACTGCAGGCCCCCTCTTGTTCCACAGAGCAGAGCAGCAGAGCACCCCTGCTCATCATGTTGTCATTGCATACACTATCCCAGTGACTACATATTCTTATTCAGTTGGTGATTTTTGTTTACGTGCTTAAAAGCAGGGAACACAAACCTTTAGCAGTTAGAGTTCTTTGGTTCTGTTAGTTTGGTAAAATTGGTGTGATATTTACAGATCAATAGTAAAATCTGCTGAGGTGAGTATAACCCCATGCTACTTAACCTTTCCTTCACACAACACGCTGGAGAAAATCACCAACATGAGGCCTCCAGGAGCAAGGGCAGAAGTTCATCACTGCTGAATAACTGCTTAATTAGATACCTTTCAGAAAACTGCAGCCTCTCAGAAAGGTCAGTCCTGCCCATGACAGCTGTGTGGATATATGCTGGGAGGAGGAGGCTGCACATTGCATACGATTAGAGCCAATGAATTTTTAACGTCTTGGTAATGTTGCTCTCTGGCCCCGTATCTTGATTAACTGATGTATTGCCATGGGGTGGATGAGAAAGAACAAATAAAACAGCTCGCTACAGGAATAACTTGACTTTTCTTTCATGAGATGCATAAAACATTGGAGAGATGGGGGAGGGGGTACGGTGGGTCTCTAAGAGGCAAGGAGAGAGACTAGAGGAGAGGAGAGAAGAGAAAGTGAAAAGAGGGGAGAGAGGAGAGGACACACACACAGAGTTCCTGCGCTTAGCATCAAAAAACAACGTCTTCCCAACAATTCTCTGTTGTGCGACTTTAGCGATAACATACTCAAGGGTGGGCTGGGCTCCAGTCACACTGAATGATGAAGAGCCGCCATTATTTACTGAGTATGTATTCATAAGTTTGTGACCCCGATCTTGGCCTCACGGTCCCCCTTGAGAGCAGCTGTTCTCCCTTACTCAGAGCCTGGGCAGATAAATCAAATGATGGCCAGCCGGAGACCTGCCACTGGATTGTGAGTTTAGAGTTAATTACCAAATCAAAAAGGTGCACATTAGCTATTTTTCAATTTGATAAGAACTCATCTGCTAAACAACCTTGCTTTATTTATATATTTTTTAAGATTTATTTATTTATGTCTACAAGAACTGGGGTACAGGCCAGAGTTGTGGGGAGTGAGAGGACTCACCAGAGACAGAGTGGGGAGCAGAACAGGCAGACTGACTGAAATGCACTGCTGAGAGGAGCCGCGGGCGAGACAGGAGAGGTCTGCTGCGCCATGTGGGTTGCTCCCTGGCCGGGGATCAAACTCGTGCTGCAGAGGCTGCAGACAGCTTCATAGTTGCGTCTTAATCCCTTGTGCCACCAGGGAAGCCCAACCTTCCTTTATTAAAAGAGGATTCTGAAGCCTGTGGAAGGCGCCTTGTTCTGGAGGTGGCAGGGGCTGTTTAAGACTTCAGGACTGTTGGGCCTCCCCGGTAGCCCAGTGGGTGGAGTGCAGCACTGTGGAGCTGTCTGCGGTTTCTGCAGAGCCGGTTCAATTCCCGGCCAGCCAAGGAGAAACCCACATGACAGGATAGACCTCTCCTATCTCGCCCACTGCTCCCCTCAGCAGTGTACTTTGGTCCATCTGCCTGTTTTGTTCCTCCCTCTGTCTCTGGTGAATCCTCTCACCCTCCCGCACCTCTGACCTGTACCCCAGTTCTTGCATAAAAATAAATAAATCTTAAAAAAAAAAAAAAAGACTGTCGCTGACATTACTCAGGGAGCTCCAGCAATGCCTAACCTAAATACACCAATGTTCCCAGTCTGCTTCAGAGGGCAGCACAAGAAGCTCGCCAAGCCCCTCTGTTCTGGATGGAAGCCAGAAGCGTCCACTCTATGCATTGTGCGACGGGAGTCAGGCTCACCATTTTGAGTGTGAAGGGAAGGAAGGGGTCACTCACCATCTGTAGGACATCAGAGGAGACCATCTGCATGCAGCACATGGCCGTGGCCAACGCACACACAATGGTGGAGAGGACATTGAGGGCACACACGCTGAAGAGGAGATCCTGTGAAGAGAGATGCAGGAGAATGTCAGCCTCATCTTGGCAATCCAGATGGCAGAATCCATCAGGGTCACTCAACTGCCATCCACTTCACAGAGGTTTTGCTTTGTGTGTTTCTTCTTTTCATAATCAAATCTGAGAATAGATTTCAATATAGACACATTTGTCTATGTGTCTATAAAGATGATCAAATGGCCCTTAGACACCCAGTGATGCATCTTATAGTTGTGATGATTATTAGGTAGTCACTGTCTAAGATCATCCTGAACTGGTATCTTCGGGTAAGTAATGTCAGAATTGAGTCAAACTGAGTTGAATTTGCAGATATCTTGCTGGTGTCCGGGAATTGCTTGTTGATGTGGGGAAGCCTCCACACACAGTTTATGTGGAATTAGGTCTATGAACGCTTTCACCTTTACTCAGTTTCTCCATGGTGGTGTCTTGCAAAACTATAGTGTAATATCAAGACCTGAATATTGACAAAATTATGGTCAAGACAATGTTTCCATCACCATGAGGTTACCTGCCATGTTGACCTTGTATAAACCTATCACCTCTCTGTTCCTTGCTCAATCTCCCTGTCCCAACACCTGTCAACCGTTAGTCTGCTTTTTATAATTTTGTCATTTCAGGAATGGTATGCAGGTGGAATCATATAGCATGTAATCTTTTTGAATTGGCTTCCCCCGCCACCCCAACGTAATTCCCTCAAGAGTCATCCAAGTTGTTACAGGCGTTAATAGTTCATTTCTTCCTATAGCTGAATAGTATTCCATGGCTTGGATGTACCACAGTTTGTTTAATCATCCACCAGTTGAGGAATACCTGAGTTGTTTGTAATTTTTGGCTATTACAAAGCTGTTGTGAACATTTGTGAACATAAATTTTTATTTCTCTGGGACAGATGTCCAAGAGTACTGGGCATTTTCTGGGTTATGTTGTAATGAATGTTAAGCTTTATAGCAAACTGCCAAATTGTTTTCCAGAGTAACGAACCATTACATTCCCACAGTAATGCATGAGCTATCCAGTCTCTCTGCATCCTAATTAAAATTGTCTGTCACTGCTTTATTTTAGCCACTCTGGGAGGTGTGTAATGATACATCATTTGCATTTCCCTGATAGCTAATGATGTTGAGCAATCTTATTTGTGCTTATTTATCACCTGTCTATCTTCATTTGGTGAAACGCCTGTGCATATAGATTGTTTGCTTTTTTAACTATGTTTTGAGAGTTCTTTGTGCATTCTAGATACTAATTTTTTTTGTTAGATATGGTTTGCAAGTATTTTTTCCTTGTCTGTAACTTGTCTTTTCATTCTTCTCACATAGGTTTTCACAGAACAAAAGTTTCTAATGTTCATGAGGTCCAACTTACCAGTTTTTGCTATTACGGATCATGCTTTTGATCAAGTCTAAGAATTCTTTGTCTAGCCCTAGAGTACCAAGATTTTCTATTTTTTAAAAGATATTATTAAGTTTAGATTTTAGATTTAAGTTGGTGATTCATTTTGAGCTACGATTTGAATAAAGCATGAGGTTTATGTTGAAGCTCATTTTGGTGCTTTTGATTTCAGTCTCTACATGTTCATTGTCATATAGAAATGTGACTCATACTTGTATATTTATCTGGTATCCCAAGACCTTGCTGAACTGAATAGCAGAAGTAATTATTTTTACAATGATTTTGGATCTTCTGTGTAGAAAATTAGACCATCTGCAAATGTTTTAGTTCTTCCTTTCCAATTTGTATATCCTTTAATTCTTTTTCTTGTCTTATATCACTACCTACAACTTTGAATATTATGGTTAAGAATAAAATTAATAAGATGGTGAGAGCAGATATCTTTGTGTTCTTAGAGGGACACTTCATAGAGTTCTAACTGTCCAAATGCAATTTACTCCTCTTTAGGATATTAACCCTCAGACATGTCAGCAATTGAAAAAAAAAAAAGATTCACAAGAATGACTAATGATTTAGAATAATATCCTTCAATTCATATGTACTTACACATAAATGTACAAAAGTACCATAAGCAAAAGCTAGAGGGATAAATGGATCCTTTACTAGGAAGAGCATGGGATATGAGGTTAGTTTGAATTATCTAATCAAGGGATTGAGGAATTCTCAAGAGGACACAGGAAATACTCATTTCATTTCCTAATTGACATGCATTATACATGCATGCATTGTATATATAATTGTGTATAATTGACATGCATTATACACGCATCTTGGGATGCATCCAAATGGCTGTCTAGTCTGGGAGCATGCCTTGCATATGTATTCATGAACCCATGCATTCTAATTTACAGGATCTTTTAAGAAAGTCCCCCAATCTCCTGTAGGTTGCTTATGACTACAGAAATCATTGACCATCCCCTTCCTCAAAACCTGCTTATTAATTCTCAAGACTTGTAAAATAGCCAAAGGGAGTTTGATTATGGTACTAATACAGAGAAAAAAGTTAACATACCAAATTTAAGCTATGTTCCCAAGGTTACGCTGCCCAGTATAAATATGAAGACAAAGAACTGAGTTTTAATTCAAGACTGCTGGAAATGAAGCAGGACTCAATCTAGGGTGAATTATTTTCCACTCTTCAGGTAAGACTTCTCTGAGTACTCTGAACAATGGAGGAACAGGCCCTATTCCAGATCTAAACAGTATCAGACATTATTTTCTTTAATCCTTTGGAGTGGTTCTTTCCCAGATGCAAATGGTTTCTCTTTGTGTGTAAGTTCATCAGTATTCAGCTGAATATTCCAGAGGGACATTCTGATGAGCCCAGAATTCTCTCCTCTCCAGTACTCTGTCCTACGAACTCTAATCCTCAAACCTTAGTGTTCTTGTACTCTCAGCTCTGTCTTCCCAGCTCAGGAAGTCTGCAGGGATTCTCCTGAGTTCTTCCTGCCCTGTGCCCTGGTGAGTCTTTCAAAGGTCAACATTCAAGGCAGTAAGGGGGGGGGCAATTATAGGGCTTATCTCATCTGTTGAGCCATATATCAGGGCTCATCTCCTTCATTGCATATGTTTGGTGGCTTTATATTTTGCATGCTGTTTTGTTTATTTTAGGCAGGAGGTTAAATCCAGTTCCTTAACTCTACCTTGGCAAGAAGTTCTTGGTGGGTTTTTGTCTCAATTTCCCAAATGGTTGTAACAGGGATTACATAATTGCCTTAAGTATCCTGTGCAAAGTTACTATGACCTCTTCGAGTGCCCTCCCTGCTCCTGCAGTCACTAAAGATAGAACAGGATGGAAGCTCAAGTGTATAAAACAGCAGGTGCAGATGAGGTTGGAAAGACATTACAGTTTGGACTTTATTTTGTAGGAGATGGGATGGAAAACTTCTGAAGAGGTATGATGTTGGAAAGAAAAAAATGCAGCCTTTGCATACACAAAGGATTGGGATGGATGGATGTCTTTTGCAGGGCCTAGCACAGAACATGGGATATAGTTTGTGCTCAGTAAACATTTATAAAAAGAGAGACTAGAAACATGGAGGTGACCAGTGAGATGCTGCCCCAGACGGGTTAAAATAGCACACAGAGGAAGCATGGAGATCAGGATTCTGAAAGTGACTTTGAAGATGAAACCAATAAGGCATGGCCATTTAGTAGAGGAAGCCTGAAATGAAGGAGAAGAGCTGGTAGAAGATCCTAAGGCAGATGTAGTGAGTGGGAGCATGAGAGGCCAGCAGCTGTGCTAGGGGACCTTGGAAGAGGAGAATAGTCCATGTGGCCTGGGACACATGGAAGCTGGGTTGCCATGCCTGCCCCATGGAGACGTTAGCAAACAGCTGGAAATGGGGATCTAGTGCTCATGATGGAGGTCATGACGGGAGCATGGATAGGAGCTATCTCCATAGTGTCAAGATGTGCCTTCACTTTGTGGATGCTGTTTACATATCCCATGTCCCTGGGGTCACTCATGCTTATCTCCAGACACCCAGACTTCAGGGAATTAGGGTCCTTCAGACTCCCTAAAGAAGAAGGCATTGTTGGATGTGCACCAAGAGAGTTTTCTGAGACAGCAAACAGAAACATGACTTATCTATTTTCTATCCCTCAGGGCAATTCAAAATCATAAAATAGAGGTATCGTTCAATGCACCACAAGAAGATAAAAACAATACTTTTACTTTGTCCTCACTCTAGAAATTTCAATTATATTGACTACATATTTCAATGACATTGTAATGAATGCCCTCCTGAAAATGTTAATTTTGTAAATATTCTCACTTGTCTATTTGAAACACATTCCTAAAAGACTTGTTTTTTGTTGTTGTTGTCTTTTTCCTTCTTCCAGCTGTTTAAGTGCATGGTTCTTTTCTAAGATAACAGCTCATTACCTGGAATTGTGTTTATGTGTTTCTCTGAAATTCTCCTTCTGCCTTAAAACTACTTCACCTCTTGCCTGGTCAGCTCTATCAGAGCTCTATCAGCTCTATCAAGCACTAAAACCCATATTCTAGAAAATCTCTTTACTGGTCATTCAAAATGGCAAGTGTGAAAGCAAGGACAGAATTTAGCAGTAGATACTGAGTTTTGCTGCTGCCATTTTGCATTGTTATTGTAGTAAAATTAAGAAAATCATAAATAGAACAGATCATGTACAAAACAGAAAGTAAAGGGGAAAAGTTTTACATACTTAGGTAAACCAACAAATGATGAATTATTTTAGAATCTTCTCCAGGCCAAGTAAATTCTAAATAGTAATAACACAATTAGCAGAAAAAGGTAACAGCCTAAAGAAATAGCACATGAAGAAACATTAGAAATTTCAGGACTTCAATTCCTTTGGTTGCTGGAAATAATGTTGTCCAGATGACAAACAGTCTTATATTTATTTTTACTAGCTCATTCACCAGTTGTTTTGTTTCCTTTGATTAAAAAAGAGATCTTATAGGAGACCATTATCAGCCAGGGTACAATGATAGGAGATGAGGTCAGACTTAGAGCATGAAAAATAAGTGATGAGATGAATGGCCAATGGTAATGGTC